AAACAACCCATTAAATGACAAAATTTTGACTTGCTAGATTTCAAACTATTTTAAATGGGTGTAATGAAAGCACCCGACGAACTTATTCTCGTGTCCCTAATCGACACGCTTTGGAGATGTATTGAGACATTTATAATCCAACATGAGAGTTTGAAAGATTACAAAAGTATTTGTTTCATTAATCGGCATTACAGATCTGCAAGCATCGGTTCCACACAACTCATTATAATACCTTTGATTATAATATCTCTAGCATATTTCTTATTTAAAAAATTACGAAAAGTATTAGACATTTTACTCTAAAATATTTAATATGTAATATTTATATAGATTAAACAACATATAATATATTAGTAATTCATCCAAGAAGGTAGAAGGTAGTGTTTGTTTCCCCAAAATTATTTAGGTCACTTAAATGTATTAAAAAAACACAAAATAAAATAATTTTAAAAAAGAGATTATATTAAAAAAACAACCTTTACCCACCTGACCTCTCATCCCTTCCTCATTTATCTCTCTTCAACCAACCTAACCATAAGATCACAAAAAAGAAAACAAAAAAACAAAAAGAGGTCAGATTTGATAAAAACTAAAGTGCCCATCAATAGACCTAGATTTATTAAATCATTCATTTTCTTTTATCCCAATTTCATTTATAGACAATCACAGCTAAAGTGGCCCTAAATTGTTATAATTATTTAGTTGACTAATTCTAGTAAATCATATCCAAATGAATAGATTAAAAAATTGTTGTAATTATTTAGATTATGTCAATAATTTTATATGAATTCCAATAAATCAGTAGCAACATGAATCATTAAAAATCAAAATAGAGAGAGTATGCCAAATACATAATCAAAAGATGAAAAAAGAAAACACAAAAGCAGAATAAAATAAAAACACAAAAAAGAGAATAGAATGAAAAATAGAGGAAGAACAGAAGAATGAAAACACACTAAAAGAATAAAATAAAAACACAAGAAAGAGAATAAAATAAAAACACAGAAAAGAGAATAAAATAAAAAATGGAGGGAGAACTGAACAAAATAAATAAATAAATAAATAAATAAATAAATAAATAAATAAATAAATAATAAAATGAAAAATAGAGGAGAACAGATAAAAGAAAGAAAATGGAAGATATAAAAACTAAGAAACCAGAATATAATAAAAAAACCGATAAGTGCAGAGAGATGGAAAGAAAAGCGAAAATCTCAAGAATATTATATTGTTGATCCTAGTGAATATAATAACTAACCTATATCCTCACTTATAAAGTAATTATCAAATATATTATGAAATTATACTATTTAATAAATTGTACGTGAGTAGACATTATATAGTTAGATATATTTATATCTCAAAATTTCAAATTTAAATGAAAAGATTAAGAAATTTGTTAAATACTTAACAAAATTTAGAAATTAGAATTAGACGAGGGTACCACTTTCTATTGCAAAATTTCTATGTAATTCATTCACTAATCTCTTTATAGTAGTTTTACCTAGGTCATCTGTCGTCACAACCCTTTTAAGGAAGATGTGCCCAAATGACCGATAAACAATAGCATTTAAAGAAGTTTTATAGAGCGAGAAGAGGTGGAACAGAGAATAGGAGTGAGAAGGACACCAAAATTTTTAGTGAGTCGTGCAAGGAAGAAGGAACTAATAGGTCTGATTTTGGGTCCGTTTAAACTAAAATTTGAGACTCACTAGCCCAAAGTCCATCTGTGGTAAAAAAAAAAACTTTTGTAGCCCAACCCTCATTCGCAACCTGCATCCAACCATTTCGTTTTCAACCTACACATGATCTAGGCCCAACTCACGTAAATAGTTAGAAGATCCGGCCCACAACCGGACGGAAAGAAAGTGTCACAATCGCACTCTTTCAGTAGTGAGACAACGATTATGCGACATTTGTTCTAACTCTTCATAACCGAACGGCTGAGACTTGCAACATGCAGCCACAGACAACACGTCTTGGGCAATCATGACCATGACATTTGCCCCCACACAATTTATTGATTTCTCTATCAACCAACTCTTCATAAACTTAGCGTTGTAGGATGAGGCTGACTTTAGGTCTCCCAGTACGCTTCCAACTAATCTCAGAATGAGGAGTCTCCCAATCTACTAGGAGCTGTTGAAAATCACTTCTCGGTTCGTTGACTCTTCATGTCTTCTCTATTGGTGTCTTTCCTACTTTATTCGCTTGAAACTTTTTCTTCTTTACATATGTCATACCACCTACTTCTGCTTGATATCTTCTTTGTCGAAATAATAAACCATTTCAAGTTACTGACGTGGACAACAGGGTTAGTCCGCATCCATAAGAGCAATTGGATCCTATATGATATCTTCATAATCTTGTGGATAACTTCAATTAGTCCATAGTATGTTTGCACCAGTCATTGGTTATTGTTGCTTTGAATTCGAAGTTGATTTGACCTTAAGTTATATGAACTTCTCTATTTTTCTTGAAATTATTGTGGTTGACACTTCCGACCGACCCTTCTTTTCATTCGTCTAGATGGTATTTCTGCATGAACATGTGTTGCTTCAATGGTTTGTTTTTGTCTCCCTTCTTCAGTACAGGTGTTGGCTTGGTGTCTTTGCCCAGCATCTGAGTGATCAGTGACAAGAGCCTTTGTGGGTACAGTCAACAAGTCATTTAGCTTTTCATAGAATTTCTAGCTTAGGCTTAGCTGCATGACATTTGTTTGTGGCAGGCGATCTCGACTGCAACATAAAAACTAATCTTGTGATTTATCTCTCCTGGTGGGGATAAATCAATTATCTGACCTTCCTATTTTGCGTCGTGGTGTTCATGTAGTGGCAACAAGGTTTCTGTTGAGGTTGGCTCACTCAAGCTCCCCTTTTCAATTACAACAATAGCAACAATAGTAGATTCATCATAACTAAGATTTTTTCTCAACTGTATTATCGACATCATTTTCAACCCTCTTGGTTGATGGATGTTTTTTTTGAATGATCGTCGGGTTAGACTCCGTTACTACTACACATTTTGCTAGATAAACGACTTTGTGTTCCAACAGGACGTTCATCCCTGACACGACGTCGAAGTCATCCATTTCAACTATCACTAAACGATTTACCTAGTCCAAGGCTCCAGCTTGATTAGAGTTCTCATTGTGACTCTTAAGACAGGTAAAGCTTCCAATTTGGCGGCGTTTATCTTTTCTGCATCTGGATGTCAAAGGATGTTAAAATATTTTGCATTGGTCTCGATCATGAGTTGTGGGTGGCTCTAGAGTCGACAATGGTGTTCCTTGCTACTTTGTGCTCTATCCAGACCTTGACATACATAATATATATATATATTCTTTAGACTGATGATGTATCTAAATATTAGAGTTCATAATTGTACAAATATTATCATAGTAAGGTCAATGAGGGGATTTCACCAGTTGTTGGGCAACAAAGTCGACACAAAGAAATTAAAAAAGAAATATGAAAACTTGAGCCGTGAAAAGTGTAAATTGGAAAGAATCTTGGTCGTCGAGGACAATGTAGTGTTGTGAAAACTAGCTAGATTGGACGCAGCGACGACCCGGGAGTAGATTCCCCACCGGGGGACAGGAGACGGCCATCTTTCCTAGTAGAGACTAAAAGGTAAAGGTAAAAACAAAGATTAATCTAATCAGACTTGCTACGACAGCTCTACTTCCTTGTCTTGCTTTTGGCAAAGCTTCGATTCGACTCATCCGCGGATGCTACTTTTCGTACGGGAGGGAACCACTCAGATTGACTTCTATGGGTGGGATCCGACAGGGGAAGGAGCGAGTGAGGCCGAGAGGCGAAGGCAATGGAATCATGAGACCCGTAGGGCGAAGGAGCGAAAGCAGTGAAGGAGAATGCATCGGGGTCTTTCTTTGTCTTGTGATAATTTCTTAATCGTCAGTCGAGTCTTCCTTAGAGTTCTGTCTTATTCATCTTTGGTACAGGAGAGTGCGTCAGTGAAAGAAGAGAATCCTACAGTTTAGTTTACCTCCAGAAATAAGGGAAGGATCAAGAAGAAATAGGTTCAAGGAGAAACTGCTCAACTGGAAAGGAGAGGGGAGGTCATATCGTCTTTGGTTCTCTAGCTTGACCTCCTTCAATAAAGGTCATATCGGTTCAGTCGCTGATTGAAGAATAGTCGACTTTAAGGAAGGGGATTTTGTCGAGATAAGGACTTGCGTCGAGTAGTCGGAAGGTCTCAGACTCGCCCCACTATTAGTTCCCGCTCTCCAATCTCATTCTTCAAATACTAATGTAAATTTTGTGAAAATTGAGAGAAATCTTCAGAACATGTTTGCAATGGCTTAGCCGTGCAGCGACAACATGATGCTTCAAATACTCTTCCTTATAATTACATACTAATGGTCTGAGAGGTAAGAAGTCTTTCTTTACATGGTCAAGGCTTTATACTTACCATGTTAGGAAGCAAAGAAAAACAAAAAATAAAACAATAGTCCTCTTAATATCATTTTGTGTTTCTCACTTTCAATTGACATACCTATCAAAATTTGAACTTTCGATATCTTCTTTAGTGATGCAGACAAGATATGTGGCTAAAATGAAACTGCCAAATTAAAACTTACACTAGGGAATAATTTCAAATAATTTTTTTCCTCTATGTAGTAATTACCACAAACCCTATATAAAAAATTCGAGAATAATCAAACTTTGCAACTGTCTAGATGTAAAAGATATAATAATAATACTTGCAGATAGACTTCATTAGCATCTTATTTCTTTAATGATTAATGATCAATAAGTACAATGTCTGAAATGTCTGAGATGTTTAAGATGCCTGAGATGTCTGAGATGTCTAAGATGTTTGACATGTCTTAGAAGTTTGGGATGTCTTTGATTTCTAAGATGTCTTTGATGTCTGAGATGTCTCTAATGCATGAGATGTTTGAGATGCCTTTGATGTGTATGATGTCTCGGATGTCTGTGATATCTACAATGTCTGAGATGTCTAAGATGTATGAGATGATTGAGATGTCTGAGAAGCCTCTGCTGTCTGTGATATCTGAGTTGCTTCTGATGTCTGAGATGTCTGAGATGCCTCTGATGTTTGGGAGGTCTAAGATGTCTGAACTGTCTACAATGTTTGAGATATATGAGATGACTGAGATGTCTGAGAAGCCTCTAATGTCTGTGATGTCTGAGATGTCTGAGTTGCTTCTAATGTCTGAGATGTCTGAGATGTATAAGATGTCTGAGATGTCTGAGATGCCTCTAATGTCTTAGATGTTTAAAATGTCTCAAATGAAAGAGATGTTTGGGAGGTTTGAGATGTCTGAGCTATCTGCGATGTTTGAGATGTCTGAGCTATCTGCGATGTTTGAGATGTCTCTGATGTCTAAGATGTATGAGATGTCTGAGATGTCTGAGAGCCTCTGATGTTTAAGATGCCTCTGATGTCTGAGTTGTTTCTGATGTCTGAGATGCCTGAAATGCATGAGATCTCTGAGATGACTCTAATGTGTATGATGTCTGTGATGTCTGCAGTGTCTGCGATGCCTAAGATGTCTGGGATGTCTGAGATGTCTCTAATGTCCGAGATGTCTGTGATGTCTCTAATGTTCAAGATGTCTGAGATGTCTGCGATGTCTAAAATGTCTCTGATGCCTGAGATGTTTGAGATGCCTCTGATGTCTATGATGTCTGTGATGTCGGTGATGTCGGTGATGTCTATAATGTTTGAGATGTTTCTGATGTCAGAGATTTTTGAGATTTTTGAGATGTCTAAGATGTCTTAGATGTTTGAGATGTGTATGATGTCTGAGATGTCTGCGATGTCTTAGATGTCTACGATCTGTGATGTTTGAGATGTCTAAGATGTCTGAGATATCTGAGATGTCTGAAATGTTTGAGATGCCTCTGATGTGTGAGTTGTTTGAGGTGTCTGAGATGTCTTAGATGTCTAAGATGTCTAAGAATTCTGAGATGTCTTTGATGTCTGAGATATCAGAGATGTCTTAGATGTTTGAGATGCCTCTAATCTCTTAGTTGTCTTAAATGGTACCTACCATGCTCAAATTAATGTAAATAAAGTGCCTAAAACTTACTCTGATACCAATTAGGCACTCTAAGTACATCAATTATAGTAACTTCTCTAGCATGTTCAAAAGCATTAAAACTCAATGAGTTTGAATACTAACCTTTTGTAGTTCAAATTCATTTTTTTCTCATGAACCGGTTTCAAACCACCACTAGTGTCTTCCCTACTATTCTTCGGCCTTAGAACGGGATTGTGGAATCCGATGAATGACTAAAATTGTTAGGAATTTAGTATATGTAAAGAGAGAGTTTTGAGAGATTTTCTAAAAGATTTTCAAGAAGAATTTTCATGTACTTTGTTCACTCTATTCATACCGTCATATTTGCATGTTCATGCAAAATTTGAGATTACTAAATTTTGACACTCAAGATTCCACTCAAATTTGTGGGATTATGTGGCAAACATGCAAGTTTGGTTAAACCATATATTGACACTCAATATTCCACTAACTCAAGCATGGATTTTTCAATTAAGTGAAGTCAATGACTTTGTTTATTTTAATTCAACAATTAATTTAAATAATTAATTTCAAACCAAAATAATATTAAATGATTAATTAAACAATTTAATTAATATTTAACATTAAATCAAATGTCAATCTCAATCAATTCCGGCACATATCGATCATGAATCCCTATTCATAATTAAAATATTTAAATCTTATTTAAATATCTCAAATTCTCTCTTTTTGTTTAATTCATAATTAAAACAAAATGCAGTTAAATATATCGTATATATTTAGCGTATATTCCCTAATTCGAACACTTCGAACTCACTCGTCAAACTGTTCTAAGGTTTAGTCCGATATGAGCTAGCAGGGGGACCTAATGGACCTACAAATCATGGGCTCCAACGATCCGAGATTAACTGGCTAAACTCATTAACCTTGTTAACCAACATTTGTTAACTACTAGGACACTCCACTATCGCCTAGTAGTTGCACTCCCCTTACTATAGATATATTTCTGTCCAATTGATATAACCATGATTAGTAAGTCAATCCTTCACTGGTTGTTCGTAACTAGAGCTGGGTCAATGTACCGTTTTACCCCTAAAGTTACTTCTTGTTCCTTAAGTCCCACTGATCCTTTGATGAACAATTGGCTTGTGGTCCAACCACCAAATGGAATTCCTCTAGGGCCAATGGGAGAGTGGGGCCCCTTGTTTAAGTCCTGGAGTCGGTACTCAAGGGAACAACCTCTCTACTATCCGTAAAAGCAGGTAGGAGTGAATTTTATCTTACACCCTATGACCTCAGATGTTTGAGATGTCTCTAATCTTTAAGAGGATCTCTGAGATGTCTCTTATGTCTGAGATGTCTTAGAGGTTTGAGATGTCTGGGATTTCTGAGATGTCTGAGATGTCCGAGATGTCAGAGATGTCTTAGATATCTGAGTTGTCTGTGATGTCTGAGATGTCTGAGATTTCTGAGATTTCTGTAATGTCTGTGATGTTTGAGATGCCTAAATAACTGAGATGTCTTTGATGTTCGAGAAGTCTTAGATGCTTAGATGTTTGAGATGTCTAAGATGTTTGTGTTGTCTGTTATGTCTAATTTTTCTGAGATGTCTGAGATGATTAAGATGTCTTAGATGTCTGAAATGTATGAGATGTCTGGGATTTCTCAAATGTCTGTGATGTTTGAGATGTCTGAGATGTCTGAGATGGCTATTATGCCTAAGATATCTGAGATGTCCGAGATGTCTGAGATCTCCAAGATGTCCGAGATGTCTGAGAGGTATGAGATGTCTGAGTTGTCTATGATGTCTAAGATGTCTGAGATATTTCTGATGTCTGAGATGTCTTTGATGTCTGAGATGTCCTAGATGTCTGCGATGTCTCTTATATCTTCGATGTCTAAGATGTCTTAGATGTTTGAAATGTCTGAGATGTCTGAGATGTCTGAGATGTCTGATATGTCTGAGATTTCTGTGATGTTTGAGATGTCTCAGATGTCTAAGTTGTCTGTGATGTCTGAGATGTCTGAGATGTTTGAGATGTCTTAGATGTCTGAGATGTAAGAGATGTCTGAGATGTTTGAGATGTCTGAGATGTCAAAGATGTCTGAGATGTCTAAGATGTCAAAGATGTCTGAGATGTCTGAGATGTCAAAGATGTCTGATATGTCTGAGATGTCATAGATGTCTGAGATGTCTATTATGTCTGTGATGTCTGAGATGTTTGAGATTTCTTTGATGTTTGAGATGTCTATGATGTCTCTTTTGTTTGAGAGGTCTTTAGATGTTTCAGATTTCTGAGATGTCTCTAATGTCTGAGATGTCATATATATTTAAGATGTCAGAGATGTTTCTGATGTCTGAGATCTCTAAGATGTCCGAGATGTCTGAGATGACTGAGATGTTTCTGATATCTAAGATGTCTCTGATGTTAGAGATGTTTGAGATGTCTCTAATGTCTTTGATGTCTGAGATGTCTTGGATGTGTAAGAGGTCTGAGATGTAAAAGATATCTGTGATGACTGAAATGTGTGAGATGATTCATATGTCTGTAATGTCTGAGATATCTCTGGTGTCAAAGATGTCAGAGATGTCTCTAATGTCTCTGATGTTTGAGATGTTCGAGATATCTGTGATGCATGAGATGTATGAGATGTCTGAGATGTCTTAAATGTCTGAGATCTTTGTGATGTCTTAGATGTCTGAGATGTCCGAGATGTTCGAGATGTACGAGATCTCCGACATGTCTGAGATGTCTGAGTTATCTGTGATGTTTGAGATTTCTTTGATGTCTGAGATATCTGAGATGTCTGTATGTGTAAGATGTCTGAGATATGCAAGATGTTCGAGATTTCTGAGATGTCCGAGATGCCTATGATATCTTAGATGTCTGAGTTGTCTGTGATGTTTGAGATGTCTGAGATGTCTCAGATGTCCGAGATTTCTGAGATGTCTAAGATGTCTCTGATGTTTAAGATGTCTGAGATTTCAGAGATGTCTCTAATGTCTGAGATGTCTGAGTTGTCTGCGATGTCTGAGATGTATGAAATGTCCGAGTTGTCTGTGATGTATCAGATGTTCGAGTTGTCTGTGATGTTTAAGATGTCTGAGTTGTTTGTGATGTCTGAGATGTTTGGCAGGAGGCGAGACGCGGCTGGGCAGGCAGGGGATACGTGTCGAGCATTGCCTAGAGCCATGCATCAAGCGCCGGCTGGAGCTACGCAGCTCTAGCGAGATGGTGACACATGTCGCCTTCAAACTCAAACCAGCCACGGCCCACACGAGTGAACCGACCCGCTGACTCGTCGAGCGAACCGAATCGAACCGAAGCGCCTAGAGCATGACTACGTAGAAAGCGTGTGCACATGGTACTCGCACGTGAAACTCGTGAGTAGACCTTCTCCCGATGCGTGAGGACATGTGGCAGTGCGTGGAAGCACGTGGGGTTAGTTTTTGGCCCGTCCGACTTTTGTTTGCCTGATTCTCATCACGATTTCAATGCTAATCATATTTTTATGTGATTTAGGCCTACTTGGGGAAAATCAGTATTCTTGGACACGCTATTTGTGTAGGAATGCTAAATGAAGGACATGCATCGATCATGTAAGTCACAACTCGGTATTTTGGAAGAAATACTTGTAGGATTCGCTTAGATTGCATGCATGCTAGTCTATTTGCCTTAGATTACCTTTCCATGAATGACATTAGGTAGGTCGATTGTTATGAGCGTATTTGGTGAATTATCTGTGTGTTGCTTGTATGTTTTAAGCTTCCGCTATACGTATGCATATGTTTAATTCATGTTAAAATTGTAAACTCCGCATTCTGAGTACTTGACGGAGGCCATCGTCCCATGACGCATGCGTGTCTAGTTTACATGAGTTATGTATGGTGATGTTAGACGATGGTTGCATGCACACTCTGTTATTTTCATGACCCATTACTATGATAAGCCGAGTGATTTGTAGTTAGGAGTGACAAGTCACTCAGTTTAGATACAACCTTCCCCCTAGGAACCTAATAGATTACCACGACAAAGAAGTATGATAGGAGTGTTCTTAGGCTACTAGTTATGTGAACGGTATCTATAGCTTCGTGGGAGGACCAGGGGTTCTTGATCATTTCTCACTACACCTAGCCATTTCGCATGGAAAATATGTCCCCACGTCGTATAGCCCGTTAGCTGCACGAGAATGGGTTAGCTCGCGCCCCCCCACCCCCCTGGAGATTATGATGGGTTTAGGAGGTACTCAGCACACCCCTAGGCCAGATACCATGTGGTCTCAGATAGCCATGTAGAGGTAGTGCCAAATAGAGAGATATCGATCATCACAGCTCGACGCAAGGAATCCTTAGGTATCAAATGAAAGGATAGAGAACCAGTAAAGCTCCAAAGAGCAAGAACCAAGGAGCGAGCCCCAAAGTGACTCAGACTAGAACCAAACATCCTAGAGCCAATTAGAAGATTGTGAGAATTCTGTTAAGTTTAGGATGCGATGAGAGCCTACAAGTAGGTGGCTTACTGAGTATAATTTTTATACTCATCCCAGTTTTCCTATTTCTTTCAGATGTTCACTGGATGCCGGTCGAGGTAGAGGAGCGTTCAAGAGTTGTGCGGTTATAGAAGGGGTCGTTCTGGAGTGTCAATCCGATTTTAGTCTTTTGGAGTCTTTTGTAAATTTCCTTTATATTTGTATTATATTTCCATTTAGTAAATTTAAATCCTCTCTTGAAATATTTG